CACCATTTTCGTCTTTCAAATTATGAATTCTACTCCTTTCCTTCTCTTTTTTTAATCGGTACGTAAGCCACTTTCCCGGTTTATTTGCACTTTCGAACTGTCGCTGTTTCATCCATCTGATTTTCTTTTCTAGGTCCTCCTGGTCTAAGAGATTAATTTGATGACGCACCAATTTCAAATTCATACCTAATTCTCTACTGTTTGGATCCTGTTGTAACACAGCCTCACTTCTTGCCAAGTCGCTTAATAGCTTATCTTGTTTAGCCTTGTCCTTCTTCCATTTCCCAGCTATATAATTTATCACTAGTCCCCGAAACACTGCTTTAGCTGTATCCCATACATTCAAAAAATTTGTATCCTCGTTATTATTTTCCTGGAAGAAAAATTCCATCTCCTTCTTTGCATAGATTAAAAATTGCTCATCTTTAAGAACCCTCACATCCATTCTCTATCTGGGCCTTGTTTTCAAACCTCCCCATATGATCCAAAGCGGATTGTGGTCTGCCCACTCATTAACACCTATCTCTACTTTCTGGATCCCCTGCCGCAGCTCCCCCGACATCCAGGCCGCATCTATCCGCGACCAAGATGAATGCCTAGGGGAGAAATATGTATACTACCATCCTTCCAGATGTTTTTCCCTCCATATATTAAGTTCAAATTCCTCCTGTATTTGATGGCAAACAGGTGGCAGTCTTTTCTTTACTGTTCTCTTTCCTCCTTCCTATTTCCTGTTTCCAGGTATGTAGTCTTTATCTTTATCGTCAATTGCATTAAAATCCCCCAGTAAACAGATATGTGGATAATCAAATCAGCTAAATGTTGGAAATGCCATAAAAAACCAGGATCTTATTACCATATGTGGTGGACTTGTTCAGAAGCTAGAGTATATTGGAACAGAATTAAGATTTGGTTAGAGGAAATGACCCACAACATATTGATTTATCAAATATGATAAATCAATTAATTTAATTTAAATAAATAAATTTAATTTAATTTAAATAAATTAAAGAAGAAATTAAAGATTTAAAGAAGCTGTATGGTTATAGTTGAAAGAGATATTAATTGGAAAATACACCCTATTCTATAGGTATTGGGCAGGGGTGAAATGCTCCCGGTTCGGACCGGCTCGTGCGAGTAGGTAGCGATGACGGCGGGCAGTTCGGAGAACCGGTAGCAAAAATCCCTGCCCCCGCCCCCCATGCCCAGCTGAGCCGCGCGATCATCAGAGCCTTTTTTTTTCTTTAAAATGGCTTTGACGATCCCAGCTGAGTTGCCTGCTAATCAGGCAACTCAGCTTGGATCGCCAGTGCCATGTAAAAAACAAAAAACTTTTTTCCTTTTAAATGGCTCTGACGATTGCTTACCTTAGCTGCTGGTCGCAACGCCTTGCTGTAATTCCTGCAATCCATTGCATCAGCAAGCAACTGAATCTCCCTGCCTGCAATCAAGCAGGCAGGGAGTTGTGGACTTCAACTCCCAGAATTCCTCAGCCAGCAAAACAAAGCTGGCTGAGGAATTCTGGGAGTTGAAGTCTACAAGTCTTAAAGTTGCCAAGGTTGGAGACCCCTGTTCTATTGGGTAAGTTTTTTTCCCCTTTGGGAGCTTTAAAAAAATAGTTAATTGAGGTTTTTTTTAGTTGTTCTTTTTTTAGACCTAGCCATTTAAAGTTTAGGAAGTTTTAAATTTAGCTGTTTTTATATAAAAATAAAAATAAAAATAAATTAAAATAAAATAATATTTCTGCAGCTTTCTGAGATTTAGTGTGTTTCTGTAGTGTTTCACTCTAACTACCCAAACACACAAAATCTCACAAAGCTGTATGTGGAATTTTGTGTGTGTAAAGTGTGAACGTTGTTTTTTTTGGGCTTTTTGTGGCTGTGTAAGGTTCCTGCTTGTTGCAGGGGCCATTTTGGGTCTAGCACAGCTGCTTTTACATTGTGGGTGAGCCAGTTGTGTTGTGTTGTGTTGTGTGCGTGTAAAGTGTGAAAGTTGGTTTTTTGGGCTTTTTGTGGCTGTGTGAGGTTCCTGCTTGTTGCAGGGGCCATTTTGGGTCTAGCACAGCTGCTTTTATATTGTGGGTGAGCCAGTTGTGTTGTGTTGTGTTTTGTAGGTTAAAAAAGGGCAAAGAAGTGACACTGACTTGGCCACATCTACCTGACCAACAAGCCACGCCCCCCAGTCACCTTACCACCAAGCCCTGCCCACTAATTAAGCCACGCCCACAGAACCGGTAGCAAAATTTTTAGATTTCACCCCTGGTATTGGGAATATTATATACAACAACGAAAAGAGAGAGGGAAATGGAGCAGAGTGGAAGGGAATAGGAGAAGAGGGGAGAAAGAGTAAGGGTAGAGAGGGGAAAGGAGAGAGGGGAGTGGAGGGGAGGAGAAGAGTAGAAAGGGAAGGAGATAGAAGTGGAGAAGAAGAGAGAGGGGAAATAGAGAGGGGACAAGAAAAGGAGGAAGGAGAAAGGGAAGGAGAGAGAAGGAGAGGAGAAGGAAGGAGGGAAGTAGAGAGAAGGAGAGAGGAGTAGAGAAGAGAGGAAGGAGAAAGAAGAGGAAAGGAGAGGGATTGTTGTAAAAATGGATGAAATATGGTGTACAGGAGAAAAGAAAACAGATGGGCAATTTCGTATTTTTTTTTTCCTTGAGGGTTATACTATTGAAACTATAATTGAAGATAATACGGATGCTAAAGCACATCGGTTTAGATGTTATTGCATACTAGTAAATATTTATATGAAAATTAAAATTTTGTGTAAAAGGTAGGAGTAAATAATATGGAATAAGTAAAATGGAATGTAATAATTAGGAATATGTTTATATGTATTGAAATGTATGATACCCAAACATTACACCATTCACACAATGATATGTATAAATTTTTAAAAAATAATAAAAAACTTGATTTAAAAAAAAAAAGCTACAGCCCCTGGGCTGGATACTTGGAATGAATGTTTGTGTTGCTGCAAAGAGTCTTTTTTTGTGGGTTGGAGGGGGACAGAAATTCTGACTTGGCTGCTTCAGCCTCCTGGTGCAGGGCTTTGGGCAAAGGCTGGAGGGAAGTGCTGCTGGTGGCAGAGAGTCAGAGGGGGACTGCATCATGGCCTGGAACTGGGTGACCATCTCAGCCCGCTGAGCTTCCAAGTGCTGCTACCTGGCCTTGCACTTCCGCAGGTCTTCCTCTACTTGGAAATCCTATGCTCGTAGTCCTCAGTGAGGTGCTTCTACTGAGCCACCTTCTTGGTCAGATCCAATTTGAACTGAGCTGTTTTGCCAACTCTTTCTTGTGGTAGCTTGCTTATCTTCAACAACTGCCTCCTGTTGGGGCCCTAAGGAGCCCGGGTGGGGAGGCCAGGAGTGGCTGGGAGGGGAGGGACGAGTAGAGGCTGGCAAGGAACCCATCAATGTGAGTGACATCGAGTTGGCCATGCCTACCTAGTCACATGCCCACCTAGCCACGCCCATCCAGCCCCTCATTAGGCAGATTGGATTAGTGGTCCACAGGATTTAAAATTATGAATTTAGTGGTCCCTGAGGTCTGAAAGGTCGTTGACCCCTGCTCCAGACCATCCCCATTAAATATACACCCCTAGTCCACCATTGATAGAACGCATCCTGTCCTAAAAGAAAAAGGAGGAATGAAGGGACATAATAATAGTAGAATAGGTAGAATTACTGGGACATAATAATAACTTGCTATTTTGCTTTTATAAGAATTGTTTTGTTCCTGTAAGAATTAGAATTGCCACTGCCATTTGCTTCTATCAATGATCTGTTATCTTGTTTTTGTGTACAACTCATTGCCTGGTGTGGGGGTATGTCATGGCCTGGCACGGTTACATCGGGTAAATACCTATGTTGCTAAGCAGTCAGCCCCCCTGTTCCTTGCTGCACTGCCAATGCAGGGCTACAAGGAAGGCATGGGCCAGGGGGCCAGAATTGGGAACTAAGCTGATATCTCTGAAGGTATAAAAGGATGCTGTACCTTCCCCAAGATGTGGCTGTTCACTGCATGCTCTGTCTGAATGTTGTGGTATGGTTTACCCAGCTCTTTGTACAAATAAAAGCTGATTTTTTTCCAAGCCTCTTCTTGGGTCTCTCTCTCTTTGGCATTCTGGTGACTCAAGTACATTTTGGGACCTTACAATATGATCATGATTTTATATTTATATATTGTATTCATTTCAGGAATGCTTGAGACTCTTCAGCTATAGTTATCTTGTCATTCACCCATTGTCTCAAAGAAAGATTTCTCAATATATCTATATATGTATACTTGTTGAAGAAATTGAATACACTTCTGGCTACTTTGACAATATTTACTACAGCTAAAATGGTTATGCCAAAAATGCTCCCAAAATGTAAGGAATTATTTCACGTCTACAGAAATATACAACACTGTTTAAAGAGTGCACTGGTCACTTCAGCAGTTTTTTTTTTATTCAATGTTTTTTAAACCAATGAGAATACAAGATTCCAGAGCAGTGTTATATCACAGGAATTCAGTCAAGTTTGAAATGTTTAGCATATGCGTAGGACAGCAGACTGCTGCTTCCCCCGAATCGTGTGAAAAGACCCCAGAAATGCGAAGAATTTATATCGATTCAGAGAAGGACGTCCTACTTCCGAAATCTTCCAAATATTGTGCAATCCCAAGGCTACAAAACTTGTCTCCCTTTCCCTTCTAAAGGTGCGGGGGGGGGAAGCGAGCCGCGACGGACGTCGAAGAGGAAAAATCGGAGTGCGCCTATTAATAGTTTCGTTCTCCCATTGGCTTAAAGGGAGCAAGAAAAAAAAATTGGTCTGTACCACGTGGGTTACTATGTGAAAATTCCAAGATGGCGCGTTCCGTCATGAGCTGACTGTTGGTGGCGCGCGCACCATAGCGGTAGCGCCGAGGGCTGTTCTAGTTCTCTTCGACCCTAACGGCAACTTCCGTGGGGTCATTCGTTCCTGATTCTTGTTTTTTTCTTCTGTTTTCAAACACAGGTCAGTATCTGGCGGACAGGTTTCCTGGAATATCGCGGTATGCCAGTTATTGCCCAATCGTGACGGCACCTTTCCTTTAAACCACGGGGAGAGGTTGCGTCTGAAGGGTCTCTTCCTGCGCCTTTAGGGCAGGGAATGGATCCCCTCGGAGACATCTGGGAAGGATTGGGGCAGGGAGAGGGGAACAGAATATTCAGGGCCATGGGGTGACTGACGCTTTAGACCACTAATCGGGGCCTCGTTCGAAGGCTGGCGGGTGGTTTTGAGCCATCATCCTAGTCGTCCCCATTTCGGACCATCGGTTCCGTGGGGGCCGTTGAAACCAGGGTGGGGTTGGGCTTTTTTAGCAGCTCGTGTCTAACGAAGGGTGGAAGGCGGGACTTAGAGCCTTGATCGACACTGGTCCCATCTTGTCCCCCTCTCCCCCCCCCCTTTGCCGTGAGTGGCGGATGTCACCTCGGAAGCTTGTGCTTTAAGCGCCGTCTGTTTATTTGCATTTTTTTTGTGAATGATGCGGATGAATCCAAGAACCGCACCCGTCTAGCGCTCCAAGAACCCCATTCCCTCCTGCTTAACCGGGGCTGAATGAGTAACGGCTGGACGGGTGAGTGCAAGGTGGGCATGGAAACGCCCCCTGGGGTGAGGCTGGGCGGTGTTCCTCCCAACAATCCCGGCGGCAAAGGCGAAGCTGGTGGAGGAAGGAAAGGCCGAGACGCTAGGAAGGACATTCTGCCGGCTGGCCGGTCGGGAAGAGGTCTTCAGTTTTTCAGTCCCCAACTCACTGGATGATAGCTCGTAAATCTATCTCGCATCTTCTCGTAGACCGGAGATTTTGGGATTAACCGTTTTCATTTATATACAGTATTGCCACACTAGTAAGATTAAAAAGTGATATTGCCAAGGAATGGACATTAAATCTACCGCAGCGAGGACAGCAGTTGCAAAGAAAAATGGACCTTTTTACACAGTAAGACTTAGGATCGCATTAAATGTTTGCTTCATTCACTCAGATGCATAATTGTATAATTGGAAATACGTGAGAGAATATTTATTGTTTATATTTATATTGGACTGGAAAGGTTGAAATCTCCGGGCATGGGAGATGGGAGCTCATTTGCCTAATCCTTGTATGTTGGCAAAAATTTACCCATTGAAAGAATGGGGGAGTTAGATTTTTGGATGTGAGATAACAGTTTAATCGTTTTCATAATAATCTATTATATATAATATAATCGCCTCTATGAAGGTGTTACAGTTGATAGCCAGCTTATTGCGCTACTTGCAGTATTTTTCTATACTATGTGGCAGACACATCTAAAACATGTTGGCAACCCGCGGCTCCGGAGCCTCTTTGGATCCTCTGCTGCTGCTCCTTGTCCCATCACTGCCTGCCCCTTACCCTCCCCTCCTAATCACTCCTCCTCTGGCCTGAGAAGGTAAGGACAATGGCAGGGGGTGGAGAAGCCCCCCGGGGCTGATTCTCTGGCGCCTCACTCTTGCTGGAGCTTCTTCTGGCCCTTGTTGGTGCTGGACGTGCCTTGGTCACTTGGGGAGATGCGTAACTTGCTCTCTGCCCCGAGACAGTGGCTCGACCGGGCTGCCTGCTCTGTGCACACCTTTGCTGTGCTTTGGCTGAGCCCGCCGGCTCACTTGAGCCACGGCTTTAAAAAGCCCAGGGCAGCGGGAAAAGGCTGGTCCTGCCAAATCTCGCATGCACGCCCACCCCCAGGGTCAGAAAAGCCGAGGCTGGACCAAGCCGCAAGATCTTCTTGGGGCTCCTTTTCCTTCTTCTTTTTGGAAATCCGGGCTGGCTGAGGAATGAGCGCGAACCGCAGCGGAGGCTTCCCTTTGGGCACCCCTCCTCCTGTCACAACCCCCGGCTGTGGTGGGGCCAGGAGGGTGCGCACGAGCAGGGAGACCCTCCTCAAGCGAGCACCTGCCCGCCCCATGCACACCTTTGCTGCGTTTTGGCTGAGTCCTGGCTAGCGAAGAGCCCCAATGAGAGCTCGCTGGGCTTTCCAAGAGAGTGAGAAGAGACACAGGCACACACAGAGAGAGATACAGAGATATACACCCCACCCCACACACACAGGGATAAGAGAGATACAGAGAGAGAGAGAGATACAGAAAGGAGAGGGGGAGAGTCATAGATACAGAGAGGGGGGAAGAGAAGGGGAGAGAAATACAGAGAGAGATACGGGAGGGGGAGAGAGATACAGAGAAGGGGAATAGAGGGGAAGATAGGGAGAGGAGGAGAGAGATACAGAGAGGTGGGAGATAGAGACATAGCTCCCGATATTTTTTTTTTCTATGGGAAACGGGTCCAAATGGCTCTTTGAGTGTTTAAGGTTGCAGGCCCCTGATTTAAAATAATCTGATATTTGAGAGCATACTATAACAAGCTTCTTTGACAGCAATAGTGCTAAGAGGTTATTTGCAACTTAACAGGACTCACATATAGATCTTAGCTACAGTGATATCTTTCTATTTTCTTGTCCAGTATAGGTAATCCTCGATTTACAACAGGACGTTTAGTGACCTTTCAAAGTAAGAAGAACACTGAAAAAAGTGACTTATTTTTCACATGACCGTTGCAGCATCCCCATGGTCAAGTAATCAAAATTCAGACTCATGTATGATGGTTGCAGTATCCTCAGGTCATGTGATCATCTTTTGCAATCTTCTAACAAGCAAAGTCAATGGGGAAGCCAGATTCACTTAAATGTTTTACTAATTTAACAACTGCAATGATTCATGTAACAACTGGCAAGAAAGGTCATGAAATGGGCAAAATTCATTTAACAAATGTCTTATTTAGCAACATAAATTTTGGGCTCAATTGTTGTAAGTTGACGACTACCTGAATTTTTTACTAGCTATATCTGTGATAGTGTGAATCCTTCACGTACATAAAGTCCTATGTTCCAACTGATACTTCTGAATTTGGAAGACTTGAAACGGGTGAAATGCTCCCAGTTCAGACCGGATTGCCCGATCCGGTAGTGATGGAAATGGATGGTTCGGAGAACTGGTAGCAAAAATCCCTGCCCCCCCCCATGCCCAGCTGAGCTGCACAATCATCAGAGGCTTTTTTTTAACTTTTAAAAGCATTTTTTCTACAACCTCTTCGGCTGAAAAAATGCTTTTAAAAGTAAAAAAAAAAGCCTCTGATGATCATGCGGCTCAGCTGGGATCATCAAAGGCTTTTAAAAGAAAAGAACCCTTTTTTTCTTTTAAATGCCTCTGACAATCCCAGCTGAGTTGCCTGATCATCAAAGTCATTTAAAAGAAAAAACATCAGGCAACTCAGCTGGGATCGTCAGAGCCTTTTGAAAGCATTTTTTTTACAACCTCTTCACTAAAGAGGTTGTAGAAAAAATGGTTTTAAAAGTAAAAAAAAAAATTGGTCATGCCCACCCAGTCACATTACCACCCCCCTCCCCAATCAAGTCACGTCCACAGAACCAGTAGTAACAAATTTTAGATTGCACCACTGCCTTGAAAGCATTACTGGAACTACCTCTTGGGCATAGAGTTTGTTGCCTGTTACATAGCAGCGGGTAAGGTAAAACATTCTGATGTAATATAAGACAATTTTGTATGTATTAATATATCTTTATATATTCCCATGCTCTTTTTCTCTTTGACAAATGCTATCATATGTGTTTGCATGTGGAAATAATTGCATTCCTTCTGCTTTTTCTTGAATCAGTGCAATTATTAGATATGATAATTCATTTAAACCTATTGCTGATACAAATGGGTATATCTGTCTGCATGTGTTATATGTATGAATGTTTATGGAACACTGAGGTACAAGCAAGTTTAGCAGTGAACATAAAAATGATAATGATATGTTTGATAATGGTAACATTTGCCAGTGATATTTTTGTATATGGTACACTTTTCACTTGAAAATTTAACAAAATACTATGTATTTCTATTACCTGTTTTTATTCTCTACTCTAAATTTTGTTGTTGGCTGCAAAAACTCATGCCACAGTAGTTTGGATATTGCTCAGGGTATTGAATGGTTTTCTGTTTTGCCAAATTAATTTCATTAGGTTCTTTTGTTGTGTTTAAAGATGTCCTACTTGCATTTAGAATTTCTTTGAACTTTTATCCTTTCAGTGATTCTACCCAGATGTTTTTCACAACTTCACATTAACTTTTTCTTATATATAGGTAATCTTAATTCTTCTCTTCCTTCAAGTTTCCCCCACAGTTCACCTTCCATGTAGTCTGTGGCACGCCTAAAGACGATAAAATATTGGAAGGTTAAAAGCAATGAAAAACTAAGCCAGCTTTTTGAAAAAATGATTTTGTTGTGGGAAATATAAAATTCGTAGCATTCTTGGCAATTTCAGCATTGCAGCTGCAGTGTAGTCCATATTCAGTGCTCTGTGCATCTAATGAGAGGAAATAAAAAATGTAAATAATTGGAAATAAGCATGTATTTAAAAAGTGTACTTTTGTGCAAATCAGTGTTGGTTTCCTTAGAAGAAGAATTGCATTATTGCCCTTGGATTTGAGACTGGTACTATTTAGTTATTTTATATATAGCAATTTTAGGGATTTGATACCATACATACTTTAACACAAGACTCCCTGTTAAAGAAATTGTAATAGTAAACACTGTACTATTTTACTTATAATTAAAAAAAAACATTAGGCTGTATTGCATCCATTTTCACTTTTTCAAAATCCAAACTAACAATTCCTAAGAAAATATTTTTTTCAGCTTTCAGATTTCTAATCTTACTCCTTTATAACTACAATTATAGTTTAATATCTGAATTATCATTTGTCTTCCTTCATGATTTATAGGCCCTGGCTTCCTTGTTATTTACCTTGGATAGTAAAGTCTTTGAATAAACCAGAAATGTGTGATTAAAAAAAATATTACACATGTTTAGATACTTCTTCTGAAAGCAGGTGGAAGATACAGAAATTAAGGCAAGCAAATGAAATTGTTAAAATTGTGATAGAAATGTTAGTATAAATTTAATGATAAATTATTTATTTATATGAACAACTTGAAGTTGATAGGTATTGGCTTGATTCAGGGAAGCTGTTCCTTCTATTGTCTGGCCTGGGCTAGAGTCTTAAGTTACAATGGCCTCAGAGAAAGTCACTACGTGTTCTCAAAGCTACACGTATCTCACCACTTCCATGGTTATGTGTAGTAATTTGCGTGCTTGGCAACCAGCTAACATTTATGACTGTTGCCATGTCTTGGATTCAAATGGGGGTGGTTATGTGATGATTCACTTTATGACCACACAAACTATTTTTATATATAACTCAAAATAAGGAATATACCTAATATTATTTCTTCCTCCTGTTTCCCCAGAACAACAACCCTGTGAGATGAATTTGGCCCAAAATCACCTAGCCAGCTTTCATGGGTATATGTTCTTAACAAAAGGCGGTCCTGCAGATAAACTTGCCCTGTGCCACATGTAAGCAACCCTTTTTCCATAACGCTGCTCCTCCAATCCATAGTGCGGGAATTGTCTCCTCGTACTGGGGAATACTGAGATGAGATTCTTTCCAATTTCTGCTGACCACGCCCATGTTGCCTCTCCCACATCAGTCTTTCTC